TGGATAACTGACTGCAAGGCTTTGCTTCTCAGCAGAGGGACAGTATTGTCTGGTGGCCTGATAAATGGGGCAGATCTGTACTAAAGATTCAGAATATACTGATCAGAGTTAATTATTCTTAACTCCTAATGATCACAATTGGATACTAAATAATTCTCTAAATACTGTCTGGAGTTAGATTTTAGAAAAGGACGTGGGGAAAGGGTCTGGAGGTCTTCATCAAAAAGGGTGAAACTGATAAAAAAAACCCGAAAGTGTTCCTTTTCAAGTAACCCATGAGTAAATTAAAAATCAGGGGAGGTTTTCAGGGAACGGATGGCTCTAGCGTACAAAGTGAAAGAGACTGGTGCCCCTTAAGGGCATAAGAATAACATGAAACAACATGCTATTAATTGCAAATGAGGTTGATTGCCTAGATGTAATTATCTGGGCTAGGGGACTCAAGCCTGGAGGTTGATCCTCTCATCTCCGTGGCTTCCATTTTGTGTAACTAATATAATTTTTACTGTGGATATGATTCTGATCTCTTTTACACTATTGCAAAACACAATGAATTCAACCAAATCCATAGCATTCAAGATCTGAAACAGACCCTGTACATGAGCTGCACTAAGAAATAATAAAGAGCTGTTTTGCTGTGCAGCTAACAGAGAATTCATTAGGTAAAAGCATATTTTAAATAGCCTTGTTTTAATTCTAGGATTCTACAGGGCTTTGGTGGAAACCTTGTATGCTACTGTAGGAGCAGCCACAGTGCTACAATACCTTTAACTACATTTTCTAATCACAGATATGGACGCAGCAAACATATTGATAATGCCAGCCCAAAATCACAGTTTCCTGATCGGCACAAGCAATAGGGACAAAAGACAACAAACAAAAGCACTTACAAAATCAAACTGGAGGTCAGACTGTAAAGTAACTTTTTCCCTCCATACAGAGAACAATGAATGTGTGGGATTGTTCTAGCCAAGATGACAGTTAAATGAGAGAGAAATTCTGGACTTATTCAGTAAATAATATGATAACATCCGTTCCCATTAGAACATACAAACCTTTCAGAGATGAATGACTTATACCCATAGCCAAAAGTCTCTGAGTTTTTTCCACATCTGTTTTATTGCATATTCGTTCTGATGCAAATAAAGTGTCAAGGGCAAAAAAAGTCTTTAATAAAATATTAATTTTACATAGACACATTCTGGGGCAGGTTATCTGTTTGGGTATTATGATGTAATTCCACTGAAAGTCAATGAAGTACATCAATTTATTCCAGCTATCGTGAAATAACAATATAGAGAAAGTACAATTGTTCAGTTTTCTATTATGTTATGGCTCACCGTTTACCAATAGTCATGTTTTTTGCACACAGCTCAGTACAGTCTAAAAAAACCAGGGTTTATTCTAAATTCTATTCTTATTCTCTTTGGACCCTTCGGTCCAAGTTTTGTAATCCGAGTACACTCTACACTCTGAGTACATTCACTTGTTAACTCCTGTTTACAGAAAAGTATATTTATGTCCAAAGCATGAAGTTCATTTCCAGTTTCAAACCCCTGTGCTAAGATCCTATTTGAGCTGCATTTTAGAAATATAAGTTGAGGCTACTGTCAAGCATCTTCCTCATGTAGTGCTTCATCCTGGTTTTAAAAGTCAAGATATCTTGTATAATCATTGCATGAAAATGGAGGGGAAAGACCAATTTCTTCTCATACCAATTTTATGACATAACTCCATTGGTTTCAGTGCAGTTATTCCTCATTTATATGAATGTTCAGACCAAAATTAGACCTAAAGCAATTGGTTTAAAAATCACATTATTTAGAACATGTTTAAAGTTTATGTGGGAAGTCCAGGGTCCCAATGGATAATTTTGAAAGTCTTTTCTGATAATCTTATTCAGAGAGTAGTTATCAATGGTTCACAGTCAACTGGAAGGGCATATAAAGAGCGGTACCATAGGGATCTGACCTAGGAATGGTTCTATTCAGTTCTATTTGAAGAATAGTCTTCAAATATATACAATGCTGTAATAAAAGAACTGAAAAATGGCATAAATGATACCAAGATGGAAGGGGCTACAAACACTTTGGAGGACAGGATAAGAATTCAAAATTATCTTGACAACCTGGAGAAATGGTCTGAAATAAATAGGATGAAATGTAATATGGACAAATACAAAATACTACACTTAGAAAGGACTAATCAATTGTACATAATGGAAAATGACCATTTAGGGAGGAGTAATGTAGAAATGCATTGGGGAATTATAGTGAATCACAGAATAAACAAATTAGTTTGTGATCCACTATTACGTGTAATACTGTTGCTAAAAAAGCAAGTATAATTCTGGGAGTTACTAGAAGAAGTGCTGTAAGCAAGATAGGAGAAGTAATTTTTCCACTATACTCAGCATTGATAAAGCCTCAACCGGATTACAGGATCCAGATTACTGCACATTTCAGGAATGATGGGGGAGAAATTGGGAAATAGCCAATGAAGAGCAAAACAAAATATTATTAAAGGTTTACAAAACATGATTTACAAGGAAATATTGCAAAAATTGGGTTCATTTAGTCTGGAGAAGAGAAGATTGAAGGGAAGACAAGAATAGTCTTCAAATATATACAATGCTGTAATAAAGAGGAGAGTGATATATTGTTCTTATCCACTGAGGACAGGAAAAGAAGTAATGGCTTAAGAAGGACTTAAATTGCAGGAAGGGAGATTTACGATAGACTTTCTGAAAAAAATGTCCTAACTAACTGTAGAAGAGGCAAACATTGGAACAAATTACCTAGGGAGGCTGTGGAAGTACATAATGGTGTCCCTAGCCTCTGTTTGTCAGAAGCTGGGAATGAGCGACAGGGGGTGGGATCACTTGATTACCTATTCTGTTCATTCCCTCTAGGGGTATAACAACATAAGAGCAATCATACTGGGTCAGACCAAAGGTCCATCTAGCCCAATATCCTGTCTGCCAATAGTGGCCAATACTAGATGCCCCAGAGGGAGGGAACACAACAGGTAATCCTCATGTGATCCCTCTCCTGTCACCCATATACAGACAAAAATGTGGCACCTAGCATTGACCACTGTCAGCAGACAGGATACTGAGCTAGATGGACCTTTGGTCTGACCCAGTATGGCCATTATGTTCTTAAGGAATCTCCATCATTAAGAACAGATTAGACAAACATATGTTAGAAATGGTCCATATAACATTCAGTCCCGCCTTAGAGCGGGACCTGAGATAACCTACTGATGTTTTTATTTCATTTCTATATTTCTGTGATTATACTGAATTGTAGTTAGTGAATTGGACATATACCACATCCAGGAATGGCCCAGCCCTGAACCTCCCCCACGCCCAGGCACCCTTTAGAAAGAGTGGAGGGCCCCCTCCCAATTTATACAGGGACATTGCTGGCTGTTTCCCTTCATCAGGGAGCAAAGCGAAATTGCACAGTTTGCTACATTCCTTACTCTGAATGGGAAGTGCAGGGGGCAGATGAACCTGGACCTGTCTCTGTGAGGGGACATGCACCCCTCCCCCAGCTGTGCCTACTGGAGCTGCAGTGGCCACAGTAAGGTGATTCTCACCTAGCCCCATGCTGCTGACATGAGAGGGGGCTTGGGTTGTCTTCTCTCCACTGGGCAGCCTGAATACTGAACCCCTTTTCCCTAGCCCCACGCCAAAACAATGATTTAAAAGAAGAAAAACAAAAATGAATTGAGTTAAGGACCTGAGCAATGCTAGGAAAATCTTCTAGTATATATATATAGATATAGATATAGATATAGATATAGATATAGATATAGATATAGATATAGATATATATATTTTACAAAATGTAAAAACTAAAGATTCTCTGTAAAAATGTTTTTCATGGCAAATGGATTTCTAGGATCCCTGATTATTACTGATACCAGAAACACTTCTATATTTAAAATGCATGTGATCTATGCATGTGACATGAATACTATGTTGAAACCCCATCTAGGTGGATGGAACAGCCAGGTAAACTAGGTATATCTAGCAGTACACGGACAAATATATTTCCGTGACATTGAATGTACAAGATGTGGCTTGTTATTTAGCAGTAATGTGCTTCAATGAAAGATTTTCCAAAAGGAAGTATGATTTTTTTAAAATACATACATTAAAGTGCACCCATGACTTCAGCTGGATATTTGACAACAGTTCTTCTGGGGGAAAAATAGCACTTTGGCAGAACAACAGTATGGAACAGTAATGGCTCTACATCTGCCATTGGTGATCTTTAAAAGTTAAGAGTAAGGATAAAATAGGAAAAATATTTATCTTGATCAATGGGATTGTAGTTGCATAACAAAATGTCAGTATTTGTGTAGATGTCTGAAACTCTAAAACACCTGGGTGTTTTACATGTGTCACAGTATGAGAGTGTATGAGCATAAAAGAGAAAGTTGAAAAATTATTTTAAGAGTTACATTTGAAATACGACAAGTCTCCAAATATCAGAAGATGCAACAACAACCTGGACAGGCTTCAAGTAACAACTAGAAAGATAAACCACACCTACTGATAATTTACTAACCTAAATAGGGAGCTTAACAGCAGAAGCTACTAACAATTAAAATAATGACTACATTAAGTATCCTTTATTTGGTACAGATCTTTGAAAGCTCTAGGAATTTAAAAATAAAAGCAGGAGGAGAATTGCGTCTGGACGCCAACTTACAATTAGACTTCTGTTTTTCTTTAAAATGTGGTCTCAGAAAGATACCTTATCCTCTAATGTTGTTTATTTCCACTGCATAAATTGTTAATCCCCTTTCAAGATCTCCTTCACACAGCCACAATCCACAAGAAAGATGCAAGTGTGGGCAACCCTATATCGGGCATAGAGTCAGCTATTCAACCCATTAGGCAACCTCAAAAGATAAAAGGAAACAAGAAGCAGTCATACTTTGGTCAGCATAGGAAACAAGAATATAGAAAAAGTCTGAGTACTTACCTCCACAAAGAGCTCTCTAGCACCTTTCCCATGTCAGTATGGTAATACTTGGTAAGGATCAGAATCACCTGCATAGGGAGAGAGTAAAAATAAATATGGGTATATGAACTAAATTTTTTAAAAATAGAGCATTTTCAAAGCTGTTCTAACCTCTATAGTAAAAATCTAGTTTCCTGAACCTTGGGGAGAACAGAATTTATGGGGTTGGGGCATGACTGGGGCAGTTACAAATCTGCTGTAACCATCTCCATATTATAAAACTTCCCTGATTTATTTCAGTGGGGAGAGGGAGAAATTGTCACAAAAATTCATCTCGGCTCACAAACCACAAGGTCCAATCAGTCTGAATAACTTTCACAGCAGGAAGGGTTGAGTTAGTCCCCGATCCTAATTTACAATGCTGCTGTCTTGACTTCTATGGACATGAATTTATCTTATCCAAAGTGTTAAACAAAGTTATTGGATTTCATCCAGAAAGAGGCACTTTGGTCTCCTGTTCAAGACCAAAACCCAACACTGAACTATGTTATATTATTATTTTTCTTGAAGAGGAGGCTGTTTTCCAAGAGAGCATTGTGCTGTCTGTGTTACTCATCCATGTTACCACATTTTTTAAAAAAATGCACATAGAGTAAATCCCACTAAAAATAAGGTCATCAGTCTAGAGAGAACACTCAGTAGCAAGAAATGTTTTGTTAACTCCTAATCTATTGGCAAATTAAGACAAACTAATTGGCTATATAGGGTAAAGAGTTCATTCACAACTCTTCTATCATGCTGCTGGCTGTTACATTTTAGATTTAGATAACTTAAATAAAATTTCCTTTCACTCAGTGCCAGACCATATTAGTTCTTCTTACACCAGTTACCATGGCAACCCTAGAGAGGTAAAATTGGAAGAACCCCTGGTTCCTTGTGCGGCTGTTAGCTTGGTTAATGTGGGGTCAACATCAGTCATCTCCAACAGGGTGGAGCATGCTTTTATGTATCTATCACTAGCTTTGTCCCAAAGCACCAGATGAAGTCTTTTGCAAACAGAAGTTTTAGCCATTTGCTTTGATTATCCAAGTAATTAGTACTTTGGTACAGTATTTATGCCACATTTCAGAATGTAGGTTGTTGTACCCTGGAGATGATAAGTGAATAAAGACTCTACAATTCTAGGCCATTTGCATTATTTACATAGTGCCATAAATGTGCAAGGGGCTATGCAAAATTGAAAGTGTTTGGATCTCACTCCCTGTGGTATAAGACTATTAAATTCAATAGAGTTACTCCTGGATTTATATTGATGCAGAAAATTGCATAATCAGACCTTAATTTTCCAAAATATAATAAAGTTTTCACATTGTTATAAGAAAGCAAAATCCGAAGGCCACTCTGTTCTATTGCATTTTGTTGGTGTTTGGTACAAAAACCTAAAAGATTGGGGGGCATCTTAGAAAAGAGGGTTTAATTTTTTTTAAATTAAAAATATTAAATTGTTTAGTTCTAACCATTTTATTTCATGTTATAAGCTAAAACTCATGACCCAAAATTTTTCAGGAAACTGACCCTGAAGAGAGAGATCTACTGCAGAAATTCCTGGCTCCCACTCCAGGCATATTCCAATCATGTCAGCTACTTATTCTGTTGCTAGTATCTTACCACAGGTTTGCTGGGAATTCAGTCTGGGTAGGGAGAAAAAGGAAAGTTCACTATCAGATACTAGCTCCCATTGGCTCAGTTTATTAAGGGACACTGTTTTGGCCAGCACTTTCTTCAACCAATAGCTATTTGTTCAGATTGCAGAGACCTACCCAGATGATTTTTATGAGCCCTGGGAATATAATTTTGGCCCTTCAGACCAGAGGAAAAATGTTTAGAAGACATAAAAAGTGATATTCCACTACACATGCCAAAACACAAAAACGAATCTGAATTGTATTAAACCAACACTTCGCATCCCTGTGCATCCCATACGTATAATTTTTAAATTACTCCTTATTCTCAATGATGCTGCAATGTACTATGATGTCTGTCAAGACAATGCAAGAAACTTTTATTCTTTAATTAGGCTGCCTGGACATCACATAGAAAAGTTTGTTAGGTTGTGCTTTTTTTTAAATCTCAGCTGTGCCCTTTTCTCTTACCTCTTATGGATAACACTCCAAGATACCATTATATAGACAAAGACGGAACAGCATTGTCACATCCTTCCTCAGAATACAGGGGTTCCAAATGGAAAAATTCAAACAAGAGACGCTATGTACCCATCACTTCGCTGACTGTCAGCAAGTCACCGAATCAGAAAGCCAGTGTACAGAGCATATCTGACAACCATTCATTCAGGGTAATTGTAAATTGTACTCTATAACAGTCAAGTGTAGTAAAAGAATGCCTCACTGAGGTACCCATTCTGTAGTCCAATTGTGGTCCATAAATAGTGAGTTATAGCACTTATGAATATATGGAAATTTTGTCTTCTCAGTGGGGCTGATAAATTATTTGAAAATGAAACACCTACACAGCACCAGAAATGAAGTTATGAAAAATGACTCAGTGACTAGACAATGCCACAGCCATCTTTGCGCCCTTATACAACATTAACAGACTTACAGCACTCTAAAGCACTATGGCATAAGTTGTTGGAGAGCTGACAGCCATTTCAGTTATGCCAAAGCATTTTATCCCACCATCTGAAAAACAAAGGTCCACTATTTTACAATCATCTTTTAACATAATCCTCTGTATTACAATAATCTTTCATGGTACCTAAATAAATGTCCTACCATCCACAGCTGCATTTGGTCTCAGACAATTAATGACGAATCCAAACATTTACAGGAATCTCTTTAGAAAATTCCAGAGGTGAGTTTGTTTGGACCTTTGGCATTCCACATCTCACTTAGAACAGCGGGCTCTTGATTTACTGAGCAGGCATTTCATTTCATTTTAGTGGGATTTTTTAATTATAAAGCATTTTGGAGGTTGGATCGCAGCCAGATATTTGTACATGCTTCTGCCCTAGTGAGTGATAGAGCTGCCTATGAGCAAAGAGACTGGAGGCTCATAAGTAATGAAGACCTGATCCGTCTCCAGATTATTATATTAAATCGCGGGTAATGCCAAAGAAATTTATTAAACAGAGATAGAGGAGAATTAGTCTAAACAGGTTCTCTATTTTAATTAAATATTAGCTCAACCTGTTAAGCCACTTGCAACCATTTTACCTCAGACATCCCCCAGAATCCTCTAATGCACTTCAAGGACCGGCACAAAGAAGGTAGCAGTTACCATGGCGTTGTGAAAGGGCATGCATACCATGGCTGGCGGGATGTTTCTGAACAAATGTTTCTAGGAAACACATCCCTTTTCTCTCTCCCTTCCTCACACCTGGCTGTAAGTCTTATTTCTTCTTGGTTTTTCTTCTTCCCAGTTTGCCACACTTCTCTTATTGGCATCATTAACTTCACTGTCATTCTTCCTGAATTGCCAAAACCAAACCAAAAACCTTAAAGGAGCCATGAAGCTTAAAAAAAAAGATAAATGAAATAAAAAAACCCTATTAGCAGAAAGTAGGAACAAACACAGATATCAGGACAATTAGGTATCAACAGAGGTCCAGTACCTTCCATTACTGGGCATCTGTTGGTTCCAACCACCACTCTACCTCTGTGGTTTTCTGATTCACAGTTATTTCCTGTGCTCAAGGCTATTTCATGTGTCCAAAGGAACTATGTGGAATGTGTGACCCTTCTGATGTTGCTTCCAGGAACATTTGGCAAAGCAGCAACTTTAATTGCAATTTTCCAGGTTCCCTTTCTGTCTGTGGGATTCAGATGACTTCCATTTCACAATGGGCCTTGGGTATGTAAGGTGCGGGAAGGCTCTGCCTTCCCAAACCGCAAGGTATAGCCCTGTCCACACTCTGACCCCAAAACACCTGCTGTAGGCATATTAAGGGCAGAGTGTTGCTGCCCCCAGTGTCCTGCCCTCCCAGTGCTCGGGGGTGGGGAAGCCAGGCCTGGCCCTATGGCACGCTCTCCTCCATCCTCTGCTGGGCCGGGCTATGGTGTAGCACACCCTGCCTCCTCCCCCTTCTGGTGCTCAAGAGGCTGGGTTCAGCCAGGCCATGCAGTGCAGTGCACCTTCCACCTGGGCTTGAGAGGCTGCGGTGAGTGCACATCCCGCTCCTCTTCCCCCCTCCCTACGGTTGGAAGGGGGAAGTACGTGTGTGGCATACTCCCCATCTCCCGGGGCAGGGGAGGAGCCTAGCAGGGGCGAGGCTGGAGATGGGGTATGGGGCTTACCTCCTCCAGCCCTGCCTTCACCAACCGCCCATGCATTTTACAAAGATTTGGTTTCTTTTGACACCATGAAATAAGGATGTGGCACACAGGAACTAAAGACCTAAATAACAATGGCTAAATGGTACCAGATCCCTGACCATTATCCTTGCCATCTCCTACTTCCTTTATTTCATTTTAACCTTCCGTCTCCTTCACCCTTTCCATAATACTTCTTTGGTTAAAATATGATTTCCGCAGAAATGCTAATTCGGGTTGTACCTCCCTTAACCGGGACTCCCTGATCTGGCAAGGACCACGGATATTCCTGCACCACAAAGCCAGGGAGGTCTGACAGCAGGGCAAGAATGCTGTAGGGGACACCGGCGACTCAGCCGGGAGCCCCGAGTGTGGAAGCAAGGGAGGGCAGACAGGTGGCATAGTGGGGAGTTCTGGCCCCAGTGGAGCTCACTGGCACCAACATCTGTGAAGCTCTAGCCTGGCAGCAGCCATGGAGCTCCAGCAGCAGCCAGGGGGCTCTGGCCCCGGCCCCAGACATGGAGCTCCAGCCAAATTTTGGCTCCAGTGGCTGAGGAGCTCCAGACCCAGCCCTAGCAGCAGCCAGGGACTCCAGCCCATTCCTCTGCCCTGGCAGCAGAGCTTAGGCCCCACCTGCGGAGCCAGGTGGCTGTGAAGCTCTGCCCAGGTTGTGCAGCTCTGCCCATGGTGCTCTGGTCCCAGCAGTAGTGTGGCCGGCAGCATGTAGAGAGCCAGCCACAGGGCGCAGGCAGGCTGGAGCC